TTGCTTGTTAGCAGTGGATCCAAATGATATACTTTTACCAACATAACAGTCAGGAGAAGGGTGCAAAAACATCTACGCTACTATATGTATCATGGCACAATGATTAAACTTGACAGGAATTTCATACAAGAACTTTTTGCTTTCTAAATGTGGCAATAATCTGCTGGGTTTCTCCCCCCCCCCTTTTGTCTGTCATAAAGACAAGTGTCACAAAAAAAACAAACAAAAAAAAAAAACGTTTTTCTTTAGTTGAAAATATCAGAGGTTGGCTGAAATCTCCCCAAATTCCCACATTTTCAAAACTTATGTTTGGCACAAAAATAGCAATAGCATCTCTAAAAGATCACCAGACCCTCAGTCAAACGTGGTAGTGGCAGCTTCATACTGTTTTTTTTTCTGGTCGATCCATATATTTTGTCAGATATGTCAGATTTTGATGGTGTACCTTCCAGTGAGTCTAAGACCACAACAAAATAAAATATTTACACCAAACAGGACATCTCTTTTTTTTAACAAAATGTATACTTTGAAATGACCTAAGAAGAACAAACTCTGAAATTTTTGGATCGATCCAAGGATGACTGTGGAGAAAAATGCCATCAGAAACTACAACATTGTTCCTCCTGGTGGAGTAAATGTAGCATTCGTTAACTCAGGCAGTGTTAGCCTCACAATGCTAACACTGCCTGACCCAACTAGAATGAGGTATAGAGACTCTGTCTTTTTGGCACATACTCTGTTAACCAATGTCAAATTTAAAAGTCCTTGCCTTTCAGAAAGTCACGACATTATTTGGATTGTTCTCTATATTGAATTCCTATTTTAGGAGCTAATGCTGCAGTTGTGGTGCAAGATGAATTTTCATGACTGTACCTAGCAGTAGTTCTGTGTGCAGTGGAGTCTCTCAGGAGCCTTTGATTAAAGCAGTAGTCTTCTCCACTCTTCGGATGTGTTTCCAAGCTGCAGTACGTAGGCGGTGTGGCAGAGGTCACTTGTATTGAGCTGAAAGTTCTGTACAACCAGAACAACTCTCGGGGCCTCATTATGGCTCGGTATCATTGATGGCTTGAGCCTTTTCCTGACCGGTCCTGCAAGGAGAAACCAATACTTTAGACTTTAGTAGTGACTAGATGTTCAGAAACTTTGCACCTTTTTGTCTTCAGCAGGGGTAAAAAGGAAAATGTATCAAAAACTGATGTTTCTCCACTGCAATGCTTTTTATGTATTTTCTGTTTGTGTTTTTCATCTTTGTGTTGGTCTGTAAACTCCCCAAAAGAGTATTTTTCATTACAATTGATTTTACTTGACTTCAGATCTGAACAGGGAAAAAGATTTGCTGCAAATGTTCTGTTTTTCCCTCATCTCAACCCCCTACAGATAGAAACAGATGAAGGAATCCTATCAGGCCTCAACACTCACACTAAAAGAAAAGTCTGAGGGATTTTAAAGGATCAGTAGATTTTTAGATAACTAGATGTCAGACATTTGATCAGAGAAGAGACAATGATCCTGGCTCATAGGTGGGAGAAGATTTACTAACTCGCTAATGAGGTTATTTATTGGACGTAACAGGATGGGGTGTTTATGAAAAATAAAACTGTTTTATTGACTGTTGTGCAGCATGTGTCACCTGTGTTCACTGACATATTTTAAAGAATGAGCACAAAACGGCTTGAAGCTTAGGCCAGCATTTGTTCAGTACAACTGCTGAGAAAATAAATCCCTGCTACACCGTTGGGTAAAAAATGGAGAGGATAATAAAAGTCAGCATTTGAGAAAATTGACTTCGATTCTGGGTTGGTTGTAAGGAAACGTGGCCTTGACTCTCTATTATGTTTTTGAAAGTGAAAGGTTTTGAGAAAAATGTGAAGCTATTACAGAATAATGGTATCAAAGATGAAATAAACAAGGACAAACAACTTAAATTTATTGAATTCTACAAATTATTACATTATTTTCTCTTTTCTGTTAATATTGATTCTATGAAAAGAAAAAGTTTTAGGAAAAGGAAAATGAAGTATTCTTTCAAAATAACAATGAAGTTGATTAAAATTTAAGACTTTATGAAGAGTTTGAGGTTTTATTATCCAAAAGGAAAATATATGATCGGTTTTTTTGATGTTGAAAAGAACAATATTCATATGAGAAAGACTTTGACATAAATACAAAGTATATAAGCATATAAACATCAGATTTTTTTTATTTTATCCTGCATCTAAAAAAATAAAATATGAGTTTGTTTTGTCTAGACCAGTGGTTCTGTATGAATATTTTGAAGGGACCTAAAGAAAGGAAATAGTCGTAGATGAAAGATTGAACAGACCGGCAATTCATCCAGGGCAAAGTATTTTATTTTTGTCAAAGAAATAAAAGAGTTTAAGAAATTTTCAGATTACTTTTTTCCAAATTTTTCCACAGGAAACTTGTAAACTTGAAATTGTGTTTTTCCTCAAGAGAAGGTATCATGGCATCATTCAGTGATGATGTTTTCTCTTCATTTTCTTTTTCTGTTCATAGTTTGTGCTTTGGGATGAGCATTTTTGTTCTGCTCTCTGTTGGCATGTGCTTCATAATCTGTTAATGTGCTTCATAATCTGTTAATGACTTCTTTTGTATTTATTAATTATGAAGCCTAGTTGAATCTGGTGTCGTGCAGTTCATTAATCATTTTCCTGGACCGGTAAATGTTGATTTGCTGTGTAGCTGCGAGAACAAATCAACTGAACAAAATACCAAAGAGAGCCATGTGTTATAAAAGTTTCTTCATTTAGCTGATGGATTACTTGACTGTTTCATAATGTTCGCTTGAATCGATTTGAGTGCTCGTCAATAAATCTGCAGAATTTCTAGCGGAGGCAAATAAAATCATATTGTCTCTACAACTATAACTGAGATGGAGTAAGAAAATGATTCAACCCTAATGTGTTTCATTAAAACAGCTCTCAGATTTTTCAAACACACTTACCTTTATTAGATGTTTAGACATTGACATATTTCCAGTCTTTGCTCTTCTCTCTGGCCCCGCCAACCTCTATGCCCTTATCCCAAGTCACGACTCTTTGGGGGCTCTGGAGCAAAGAACCATAAATTGAAGGATCAGTTTTCCACGGCATCAGTGGTAAATGTATTGAGCAGACCTGAATGAAATGACACGGATGTTTCAGCGAGTGCCTCCAAATTGGTTCCTCCAAATGCCTAAAAGTAAGAGTCGTGACTCTGCAAAGATGAATATTGATCCCTTCTGTGTTTTACTTTTTTCTGCTGCTAATTTCTAAAAATGCTCTTATTTGTGCATTAGGCCCAAAGATGACAAGCTCTGTTCTAAAATCATGAGATAATTACTAAAACTGTATCAAAGTCATTGTTGTGCAAGTTAACCCTTAACAAAACTGTTTCTAAGTTCAATTCACAGGTCAAACCGGTGCTAATTTATGTTCATAGAAATGTTGAACTAGTTTTTACTCATTCATAATTTATTTCCATAAGATATGCTGACAATGTATATATGCCATAACTTCATGTGTCTATTAGTGAATTGATTTGTAAAGGAGCTTGAACTTGACTTGATCACTTGTTTATTTCTAGACAATTTACGTATTTTTATTGCTCTCCTTTCGTCGCTTTAACTGAGTTCAAACCACTACACGTTCTATTTCTGTTAAAGCACATCAGCCGACAAAATTGTCACTCATATTAATTAAACGACACATCTTATCTCTGCAGTAGCCGCCTGCAAATTCACACCCTCGTTCCCTGCCTGGCGCAGGCTCCCACGCATTAACAGAACCAGGGAAAGCAGAACCCTCTCAGCTAAATCGATGGCTAGAGCATGTGTCTTCAGTTTAACGTTTACATGGAGGCAGAGGCATACTGTTATCAATAACACACCTGATGAACACAGATATGTGCTTGTAAATTTCCTGTTTGCATATAGATGCTAAAGTTTGTTCTAAGTTTCATTTTAGCGTAATCGTCCTCCAATGGAGCTGCAGTTATAATGCTTGACTCAGTTTATGATTTTCACGTAATAAAAAGTGTCTTTTGTTATTAAATTATTTAACAACGTAATTACTAATGTTATATGTTTGTGGCAGATTTTACCTTTTGTAGAAATCTATATATTTCCACCAAAATGAATCGTAGTGAAACAAGAGCTTTTCCCATTGGTAAGCTTTGCAAAAGGATCTTTTGAGCTATTGCGAGCCGCCAGACTGCTTTTCCACACTACGTCTGACAAAAATCCTATTTCACTTCAATTAAACCTCCTTTCCCCCCTCAGGGTTCTATTTAAGTCCAGGAAACCAAAAGGTTGTAGCTTCAACGATAGGTGGCAACCTCCCCTTTGCTCTATTCCTTTGATGGAGCTCACTAAACTGTACATGTCTGCTCCTGATGGCATCACTTTTAATTATCTCCTTGGCAGGCTAGCTGGCCCGTTTAGATAAGCACCAGTATTATATTACTGTCAGTGGGACTCATCTGTTGTCCTATTCATATAGGATGATTTACTTATCGTGAAATGAATTTTCAATGACAATTGATTTGACAAGTTAGCCTCTGGATCTTTATTGTTTTTTTTTTCATCCTAATTATTTAATTTATGATCAAACAAAATACATGAATGCATGAAATTTGTTTCAGACCCAGTAAAGAGAGGAGCATAATCTCAGACACATCCCTCTTCCTTCATTTTGTCACAAACAAAAGTTGCGTAATATTTGTTTCACGGGCCGTTGGGCAAACCCATGTGAGAGTCCCCTTCTCTGGGGCCAAGAGCGACTGCAAAGTCCTGACTACTGAGGCACTCGGTCTCCGTCTTTTTCTCCAGACACAATAAACCGAATGAGAACTCACTGCAGGGCAACAGATGGACAAAGATGGGTGCAGAAATGCACTACCTCTTCTGTGAGAGGAGCTGTACACACGCAGGACTTCACTACCGTGCTCTCACGCTGCTGTGGCTCTCTGAATATTCATCCTCGTAGCCCTCCCACCCTATTCCCTCCCCCGCTCCCTCCATCTCTCCTCCCATCCCTCGCGCTCCGTGCCGTTTTATGCCGACCACAAGGCACACAGATGTAAGTTTAATCCAGGCAACAGTAAAAGCTGGGAATTGAATCCTTCTTCTTTCTTTCTTTCTTTTTTAATTTTTTTACTGAGATGCAACTGTAATCAGAAGAATTTTCATCAGTCAGTGCTGCTGTAAAGATGGACTTGGAGATGAAAACCTGCTGCTGGAATTGTGTGGCGTGTTTTATTCTCTCCATCATCTCTTTGTGTGGATCTAGTCGTTGCCACTCTTAAGGCTTGGCTACAAGAGTTTTGTTGTTTATTTTTCTTTTAGAGAAAGCTGCAGGACTGCGACAGTTTTCCTTCATCTTCACATTAAACAGAAGGACTATTGAATGAATCAAGAAGAACAGTTTTTGTTTTTCACATTTAATTGGACTTCATGTTTCTAAATCAGATTGCAGTTTTGCTTGAACCCTGCTCAGAGGAAAAAGCAACAATGTAGTCCAGAGGTTTGGACTTTCTGGGACAGGATTTCCACCTGATCAGTGATCCGTCACTCTTTGTGAGCAAAAACCGTGGAGGGATTACTGACGATCTCACAGCGTTCGCCTCGATTTGGAGCATCTTTCAGACTCAATTAGTACACATTCTTGGGAGAGTCCTCACGCTCGCTTCCTTGGGGGGGTTTTTTCAATTCTTATTCAGAGGAGACTTCAATAAGAGAAGACTTTAATTTAGCCAGAAGCCAGGATGCAGGTGTCATTAGTGTGCACAGATCACCGTGGGGGGGTGAGCCGCAACACAGAGGACCGGCTGAACCGTCAGAATGCCAACAGCCCCAGCACAGGAACCCGCAGCAAGTTCAGAGCGGTGGCGATGGTGGCTCGCAGTCTTGGGCAACTCTCAGTTCAGAGTGTGCCCTCCTCCAGCGAGCAAAGTGTGAAGACTGGCATGAAGTATAGGTAGGCATGTCTGAAGACTTTCCACAGCCAAATTTCTTTGACATTTTGGATCTCATATTTTTCAGTTTGCCACTCTTGTTAATCTTGATAAGCCGTATCGTCAAAAATTATAACGTCTATCTGAAAATGACCACACCTTAATTTTTACCTTACCTTAATGTTTTTTTCTTTTGTCCCTTACAATGATGCACTTTGTAAATTCAGCCATAGACATTAAATTTGATCTTAGTTGTGAATGACCAACTTTCAAGTGCTCAAAAAACAAACCTACTTTGGGATCTATTCATATCTGTAAATCGATATTTATGATTGAAAATCCTCAGATTTTTAGGACGACATTTTTCACATTTAGAATTGACTTCATTACATTCATTTTATTAAACATCATTCCTGGGATATTCCCCAATGATTTGCTTTTATATATGTTCTATATTTATGCATCTCACCCTTCAGGGAGTCAATGTGTATTGTGCTCCAATTGATTAAAATAATCATTTGGAGCACAGATGATTTATTCTTCCAATACATTAAAGCATCAAAATTAAAAACTCCCATAAGAACTTTTTCAGTATTAACCCACAACAAAAGATGAGAAAAATAAATATCTATATTTATTGAAAAATGTCAGCTGGTACTGCTTGATTCTCCACTTCTTCTAAGCTTGATAAAAATTTGATTGTGTCTTGGGATTTATGCCTTGATGTTTAAGCTTTTCATTCCTTTTTTCCCCCTTGCAAGTGACCTTTAACACAAATTATTCTATACATACTTAGAAGTAAGAAAAAAAGTCAAAATTCTAAATTACCAAATTCATTCAAATGAAACACAAAAGAAAATTATTATTGGCCAAAAAAAAAAAAAAAAAAAAAAAAAAAACTAGATTGGGGCAGTTCTAGTATTTTTTGCAGTTCTGTTGCCTCCATTTTGATGAGGTTTTTATTTTAGTTCTGACAGTTTCTAAGCCCTTTTTGTCAACAGGAAGCATCAGGGAAAAGAAAAATGACAGAATTTAATTTAACAGTTAATAATTTAGCTATTTTGGCAAATATTTATTGCGCACATGCATTTTATATCAAATTTGCAAATGCCTCGCATTTGCACGGTGAATTATTTAAATGAGCTCGGCTGTCACGCGAATGCTGCAAGAGGATGAGATGAATAAGAATGAAAATCTCTTCAAATGCACACTTAAAGCACTGAGTAGTGAGTGAGCAGAGGCAGAGAGCTAATGATCAAGGGCTCTGTGTTAAAGTACACTGTGGTTTGTAACAAGCTGGCCAGTAATACTGTGTGTCAGGATTGCTTCTCATTTCTTTCTTGTTTTGTAATCATTTGTTGTTTTTTGTGTTTCATTTGATAAAGTGCAATCAAAGTAAAATTCTCATAGCTAATAATATTGTCAGTCTTTTGATAAAAAATGTACTCGATGCAAAAATTAATTATGTCGCTCATTTCTAATCTGCAGATATTGAAAAATTGGGATGTGGTTAGACTGATTTTAGCCAATTCCAATTTTACTCTAACAACTCTTAGAAAATTTATCAGCCACATTAGTAACTAAGAATAAAAGAGCAGGCACAATCTGGCAAAGCTGTATGAGAGACGTCGCTTTACAACATGAATTTAGGGCTTCCCATGTTTAGCAAAACATGCAATATGTGAAAACAATGGTGAGTGTCGCGATGACAATATGACCTGTGACAAATGCCCAACCGAACAGTGTTGATGTGTTTCTGCTTTGGGCTCATTGCAAACACAGAACCCAGATAGTCAGCAGTTTATCCAGCTTCTGGCGGAAAAGAAGGAAATGTGTTATTTTCATCTGAACAGCAATGTTTGCTGAAGAAGCAGCACTCTGCAGCATCTGTTTGAGAAAGATTTGACCAGGTTTTGTTAAAGCACCCCTAAAAACATTGTCTGTTTGGAGCAACATTGTCTATTGCCTGATAAAGATCAATCATTCAGGTTATATTTGATATATATTGCAAACTAAGCATTTCTTGAATTAAAGATTGTATGACTTGCAATATATGACCCAACCCTTTTTGTCAGCATGTTTTTTAGTGATTAATATGGCCAGCACCAGAACCTTTCTTTTATGTGCTAAAAGTCTTTTTTTTTGTAGCCTGAATAAACTGCAAACTTGTCTCAACATATTATAGAAATATTTTACATCTTCTTTGTCTTTCTAGTTTTGATTTAATCACCAATACTGAGAATACTTTGAGTTTTTTTCACTCAGTAACAGCATCTACACTCCAGGGTTATTGCAGTAATCTGGAAACACTGATTTCATTGACTGAAAAGTATGAACTTTTCCAGCTAGCAGGTCAAGGGTACGAGCAAATAAAGCTGAAAATTGTCAGATTCTAGTCAACATGCAATTTGTATACACTGCCAAAAGGTCCCACAGGGTCACGTCTGCTGTACCGATACTTGGTGTTGTGTGTCAAACTACACACAAAACAATTCTACAATTCTTTGAGTTAAAAACCAACAAACTCAATTGGTTCTTTTACCAGAAATATCTTGATGGGGCTTTTGTGCAGAATTGAAAGCCTTTTTACTATTTGGTGTCAAGTTGTGCCTTTACAAGTATTAAGCACAGTGTAAATATTGTGAGGGTTGATGCGAGGTTGATTTGTTGAACCGTATGACCCATCTCCGGCGCCACTGTCTGCAACCACATCACAGTCTTCGGCATGTAATTTGCTGGCGGCAACTTCCTCGTGTTGTCTCACTGTCATCATTGAAGCTAATGATATTGAATGAGAAAAATCATTTGCAGCGCAGGGGCCAGCGGCTTTTTGTGTTCTTGTGCTTTCAAAGTGTTCTACAAAGTACACGACAAGATGTGTTTTTGTAAACTCGAATCTAATGTCAACCAAAGGAAATGCGCGTTGTGATGCGGCGAGAAGCCCCAAACGTTCCTGTACAGAGGGCGGGGCATAATGTCTGGGGTTTTGTTTGGAAGAAACGGGAACGAAAAGGAAAAGGAAGGGGAGATTGCTGGTGTATTCAGAATGCCCAAGAGGAAGTACAGTGGGATGAAGTGATCTGTGCTCGTGTCACTGTGAATCTCTCAAGCGTGCCTCTTGGAGTTGAAGCTTGCAAGCCCTTTAACATGGCTGTCCATTTCTCTTTTCATCTTTAGGATTTTCTCTGCCTCTCTTTGCTAAAAGGGAAAGAAATTTCTCATTTCTCTATTTAGACAGCTGAAGAGGTTTGTGGTTTTAAAACCGTGCCCCAAAAGAATACAGTAAAGCTGTATTATCCACCCGCCAAAAACTTTCCCTGATTATCCCCCTCTGCACAATCACTGTGAAATTCAAATCAGACTCATTTGCATAAAATCCTTGCCTTCTCCTTGAATGGCAGCCTTGTGTTTGACCCGTTTGCATCTCTGAGTTTGATTTCAGGTTAGTTTGGGAGTGACCTTACTCAGCAAGGCCACCAAAATCATCAAAGTGAACGTCTTTCACGGCACGGAGGAATCGCGGCAGCTTTATTGGCCTGCCAGCCGCTTTTAAATGGAACTCTGCATCTGACTGATACGTCTGGGTAAAATCACCAAGCTTGACTGTGAATCGTCATCTTCTTCCAAGGAATGAATAAATGTCTTCATTCTGGACTGAATTAATGATGCACACTAAATGGCTTGTGATTATGTAAAGCAGTCTTTGTCAGGGGATCTGTGTGAGATTGGGAGAGCAGTGCAGGTGAGGCAGTTCATTCTGGTATTAGCTCTCCGTTCAGTCAGCCAAACCCTGCTGATGGGGAGAGTTTTATTTGCTAAGATGCAGCAAATCTCCAAAGTCCTGCTGAGTTACAAGAGCCAGAGCATGTATTGAATTCCAGCCGGGCTCCCATTTTTGTGCTTTGGGCAGGACAAAAGTTTGAAGGATTCACTTCAAACTGCTGTGGTTAACAACTGGGAACGGAAACAAGACTCCAGTGAAATGCCTTCTGCTGGAAGTGTTCATTCTGCTTATGTTAGAGTTCAGGTCCCACTTACCTTCTTTTGGGCTGTTTCGACATGTAAGCTCCAAATCTCACATCATTGATCGATAAATGTTAGTGATGCACCAATATCAGTCTCTGCACTGAAATTCATATTCAACATTAATATTGCTGTTATGGCCATTAATTGTTATTTACCAATGATCTATCTGATTTCACCTTTTTGACTCTGTTAGGAAAATGACCACACCTCTGACATCCTTTCTCTGTTTAGTTAAACATCCTCAATCCTGCATTGGATCACTGTTACAGAGAACCAGTAACGATCATTACATTTTAAGGAAAATAGCAACATTAAAATACAGATGAAGGCAGAAAGTGGTTTGTTCCATACAATGCATGTTATGTTGCATTTCTTGCATGCTATGTTGCCTTTCTTGCAACCTTGCTATGGTGACCTCAGCCACATGGAAGTGGTTCTGTACTGTTAAGGAAAATGACCTGAACAGTCAAGTTCAGCTGAGCAGGTGGTATCACTTAGAGTTTCCTTCTCTTTTTGATCATTTAGAGATCAAAAAGATCTCTAAATCTTTTTGATTTAGAGATCTCTAGAGCTCTAAATCTGTAAGTTGAACATGTAATTCAGGGAATACCAACCTTCAGAGAAACTTAACTCAATGAACCAAACTGTAAACACAGACAGAGAAACACACACAGAGATCAATGTGATGCTAATAGAACATGGCTAATTAGCTATTTCAAAACCACATTAAGTGTCGCACTGTGTCACCAATAATATTCACACATAGTGTGTTTTACCCACATGAATGAAAATATTGTGCCTCAATCATATCACTGAATAAGTGAGAAACGGAGACAGCAAACTCAGCAGTGGTCCAATGAAGCAGGTCACGTTAGCACCCATTGTTGCTCTTAGCAACATTACGGTCATTTTGAAACAAGTAAAAGATTATTAGTTCTGATTCCCATTTTGCCTGTTGACTCTAATGACATTTGACAGCTGCAAAATGAAGCCTTCA